AGAAGAACAAGAAATAAGTCGGAATCTCACTTGACTGGCTGGATGAGTGTTAATCCTTCCCCCTTTAGGAAAGAAAGCCTTTTTCGAGGAAGAAAGACGCTTTAAAACCTTTTCTAAGACGGAGTTCCAGAACGACAATCTCCTTGGATTGCTTCCCATGGAGAGCCCGGAAAATTACTCACCTCACAACCAATTAAAGAGGCCAAAACTTTTTTTCTCTATTAATCTTAAGGCCCAAAACTCTAAATGTCAACTATTTCTAATTATTTGCCCTGAAAATGATTTGCAGGAACATCAATATAAAAAGAGGCAAGCAACTTTTGAATTGGTGGTCGTACTCCTTCCAAAACAAATCATGGACTATCTAAACTTAGGGTTACGGTACGGATGAAGTATTCTTTTCAGAATCTTCTGCATAACATTATCAATTCTCACCCTATTTGAAACAATATGAAGTGCTAAAATAACGTCCTAAAACTCCCAAGCTTCTGAATATATCACAAGTCATTAAGAAGCATTCTTGAAACTTCACTCTCGTGGGAAAGCGAAAAACAAGGAAACCCCCTGCTAAAATTAAATACAGCTTTGCCTCCAAATAGCAGCTATGCTTCATACATCTCGTTTCCATGTTGAAGAGAGGCCGATCTAATAACATTAAAAGTAAATTCAAACTGACATGGGGAGGGAAAAAGAAAACAGTCTGCAACCTACACTCATACTTTCACCATAAACAACGCAAATTGGCTCATCTAGTACACACAAAATTCAAGTAGAGCTCCATAATGTGAAGGATAGCTACATATCAGAATTATTTCAGAAAAATCCAAAACAGCTATAAGACCAATTCAAGCTACTTCGATATCCATTGCCCGAAAACATGCCAAGTGCACTTTCAGACGCGAAACTGGAAGCACCAACTAAAAATGCACAATAAGTTCACTCTTTCCTGGTTTGTGGACATTGAACAAATTAACAAGAAGCTAAATAGGGTAAAAGAAAAATAGTGAAATTCAAACCTTAGTATGTCCCTTGAGTACAATCTCGTTGCTCTGAGGAATTCGATAACGATTCTCCTCATACTCTTCCTCCTCCGCGTCCGAACCCTCAAAATTCGAACTCGGTGGTGGAGGTGGAGGCCCAATCATATCACCATCATCGTCCTCATCGTCATCTGAACCCTTGCCAGGCGGCGGCGGCGGCGGGCCAATAATTACATCATCATCATCATCCAATTTCGATTCCACCGGCGGGCGAGGCGGACCAATCTTCGAACCATCATCAGCGTCAATATCACGCGAGACCGCGCTAGGCCCAGAATCCCTCGTGACAGCTGGGTTGCGAAGTGAGTTGAGCCAGGCTTTGGAGGAAGAAGAGAGGGATGGGAGGGCATTGTTATTCTGTGAGGAAGAAGATTTTTCTGGAATACCCGCTGTAGTAATACGACGAGTGGTGCTATGGATGGCTTCAAGAGGCGTCTGAGCTTTCGATTGCTTCCCGAATGTGAGAGGGAATTGTGCCCTAATGCCATCGTAAATCTCCGCCTCGTCTTCCATAGTCTTCAGAACAAGCTTCTTTTTGTCAGCCCCAAAGACGATATCAGTTCGAAAGCGAAATCGTGGATTTTTCTACCATCGCCATTAACAAACGCTGAAAATTGCGAACTCGATCGCCTTGAGGAGAATGGTGAAGACTGAAGAGCACGGCAATGGAGTCCGCTAGTTTAATTTGGGCCTCTCTCCTCGGCCTATGGGCCCATATACAGTCCGGTAACCCGGAGGTATACGAGCCGGTTCAACACGAACCGACCCGTATTCTGTAATAAATAAAAGGAAATTGCATTCTCAAAAGTAAAAAATTAAAGGGAAACGCCGGATGGCTACAGCCAACCAAATGTTTCTTATTATTGGACATTAGATACCAAAAAGCCCGTGATTTTGCTAATGGGGCTGGGCTTCAGAGATGTCGGGCTGAAAGCTTAGTGTAGCTACGTACTGTGCTTTGAGTTATAGGATTATCCTTAAAACTCCATAAATATATTATAAAGACAATACATTGATATTTTTGTTTACCATAAATATTTGAGTTAATAAAATATCTAAATTTCATTAAATTAATAATGTAATTGAGATGAGTTATAATTTTCAATGAGAAAATATTAGTCTACTATGAATGGTTAAATTGAATATGACTTTTTTTTTATTTCTTGGAATTGATGTCCGGTGATACCACAAATCACAAGGCTCTAGCCACTGTGCTGTCAAACAACCTTAAATAAATAGATGATTTAAAAATAGATATATTATGAAAATTCACAAAATTAGCAAATGAACAACTAAACAATACCAAATAATAATAATAAGGGCAATAATAAAAAGAAACAAAATGAGTGAAACTAGATGAAAAATAGTACTACAATTGTACTAAAAACAACAAATTTAACAAATTTTCAATTTTATTTTTCTTCTATATTCAAAAGTGTCAAAGATTTAGCAAATATATAAAACTTTGGTGAGAAAAAAAACACACAAATAGATCCGTTAACCGTGCATTATATATGAAATGTCAAATCAAATAAAAGCCATCACATTTAAAAAACAAAAAAACAAAAAAAAAGGCCATCACGTTGTACTCTTAAAAGTTGAAGAAAATCATAAAGAAAAAGCAAACATATACATCAATCATTAAAAAATAGCATAACAAAATATAACATCAAGTACAATTCACGTGTTATTTATATACTACACAAGGATCTATACGAATTTTACATAAATGTCATCTACCATTTAATAACAACATGATCCACTAGAAATATTCTTATTATTTCCCGATCCATATTCCTCAAAAAATAGAAGTAAAAAAAATAATTTTAAAAAATTTGGTGAGAGAAAAACACATTGACCTGTTTATTATGCACGGAAAATTATCTACAACTAAGTAATAAATAATAAGGGAAAAAAAGTATTTTTAGTCCATTTTTATTTGATTCTTACGTTTCAAAAGTTGATAGTTTGGACATCGATTTTTAGAAAATCGTTGTCCCTAAAATTAGGTTTCTAAACGGTTCTATTAGTGTCTTTAACAAAAGGGTGATGTGGCGTTGGTGACTTGGATTTTTAATAATTTTATATATTTTTGTAATTGGGTGGCATTTTTTCACCATTTCCCTCTTCTCTTTCGCTCTATTCCCTACTTAATTCCATAACCAGGACACGTATCGGAACAATTTCAAGAATTAAGACGGCATTCCAACATCTAAATTTCACATTAGGGCCAAAAATCCAAGCACATTTCCACTTTCCGTAACCGATAATCTTCGCAGCAGAAGATAATTTGGGGATAAATTTCGTAATCGTCGCAATAGCCACGCGTTCGGAAACGAACACCTGAAGCAGAGAAAATGGGCGGTGCAGGGGAACCAGACGAGACTACTTCCGAAGCTGAGAAAAACTGAGTAAGCGCCATAGCTACACGTGAGCAAATTTCTCGGCGAATGCGCTTGATTTGTTTCGGTTCTTGGACCATTTCCATGGATCTGGAACTCGAGAGAAGAGAAGGCGGTGAGGGGGAGTGTGATGGTGGTGTTAGAGGAAGCAGAGGAAGTAGAAGCAATGGAATATGAAAATAGAAAGGGAATCGGAATGGGAAGGAATTCCATGGATTTGGATTTGGATGCTCTGCTTAGTCGTTCATGGAAGCATAGGAAATGGCGACATGGCACGGCCGCGGCAATCCACTGAGTTAAGGGTTCGAAGAGGAAGGAGGAGGGAAGAGAGAGAAAGTGAAAGAGGGAAGAAAGAGAGAAGAGAGAAGAGAGAAGAGAGAGAGGAGGGAAATGGAAAAAAAATGCCACTTTTTTTTAGAACAATAAAAAAAATCCTCACCCGTCCTCGAAATTTGAGATTCCTCGCAGGAACCCGTTCCTGATTTATAAATATTTTAATTCTTTTTAAAATTTATAGACCGAATAAAAACCTATTTTGAAAGGACCAAAACTACATTTTAGCTTAAAAAAGAAAAAAATAACAAAAATGTCAAATATATCTTCAAAAATAAAACATAAAGTAATCACATAGAACTCTAAAACGTTGTCATGGCGAAATAAAACATATATATCGAAGCGATTTCGAAAAGAAGAAAACACAGACCAAAATGTAAAGAAATGAGTGGAAGTACAATTCAACGACACTAGAAAACACAGATAAAATAAAATACAATTCACAACCAACAAACAACACTAGAAACACCTGGCCTAAAAACAATTAATTAAAAAAAATAGAAAACCCACAATTATGTTGTACACGTAGGCTTGGTATCTAATCATTCAGAGTAGAAATAGATAAAAGTCTAAAAAAAAAAAAAGAGTACATAATATTGCAGTAAAAAGACAAATACACGACATCTATATTTGACGTTTTCACAAGTCTAAAATATAACAAATGTGAGATATACCTTGACAAATTAATAACATTAACTACATTTTATACGTGCAAGTTATATTACAAAATAAAAATATAATATATTAATACAAGTGATATAAAAAATATATGCCGGATTATGATAAAAGTAGTTAAATAAAATTTTGAATATAAAAAATAAACATATATAAAAATAAATATAAGATCTTTTAAAAATATATTGCATATAAATTTTAATAAGCGTAAGATTTCAAATAAATAAATAAATATATAGTGGAGCACTAAATATTATTTTTATATTATGTTTACAAGAGAAATAAACAATAATTCTGAAAAAAGAAAGCATACTATATTGTTAAAAAAATATATGAAATAAATATATTAATAAATTGGTGATAGACAGGTTAAATGAATCTAAGTACTACCGAAAATTTAACAATGTCCATTAAGAAAATCTTTTTGTATTATTAAAAAATTATTTAAAATTCAATGTTACAAATAAAGATAAAAACATATATTAAATCAAGTGATATAAAAGTTATATGTCAGCTTATAATAGAAGTAATTAAATAATAAAAAGAAGACGATATGAAACATGGATTTTTTTTTTTAATAAATGCTGAAACTTATTCCAAATATATATCAACTCCTAAACTATTTCTAAAAATAATGCTTTGGAAATTGTAGGTCGTCTAAGACGATCTATGCCACCTCGCGCTTCCCTAATTGAAATTGTAGGTCGTCTAAGACGATCTATGCCACCTCACGCTTCCCTAATTGCATGGCACCAGGCACCATGTATTTTTTTTTTCCTTTAATTCTGACATATCATCTCGAGAGACATGACTTACACAAAATCATAACATATTTAATACTCTGCCACAGTGGTTGTTCCCTTATCTAGATGTCCACAACCACTGTAGCACAGTATTAAAACTATTATCATTTAGCATGTCGTCTATTGAAGAGACATGCCAGAATTAAAACTACGATTTCCAAAGCATTATTTTTTGAAATAGTTTACGAGTTAGATATATATTTGGAATAAGTTTCGAACGAAGCATTATTAAAAAAAATTCCTATCAAACACAAAAAAACATGTATAAAATAAATATCATAGAAACGAATATATATGTAAGAATTAAATTCACAGAAAAAGGCATAAAGTAAATAGAAATAGGTCAAAGATACTAAAAAAGATCAAGTGGAGAGTAGATATGATACATTTTAAGAATATGTTAATGGTTGGATATAAAATTTAATAATTCTGCACTAACCAATACGTAAAAAAAAAATAAAATTAAACAAAAGAATAAAAAATGAGCAAAGAATCCAATACATGAAAACAAAAAATGAAATAAAGAACCATTCATAATCAATAGATATAAACTTATTTTTCATTTATATGAGCCATTGATAAGAGTCATTTATATCAATATCTCWGCACCATCGAAAAAAATTCACATTCTTTCAATCCTAGATGAGAATTATGTTTCTTATCAATGCTTCATAATAAATGAGTCATTTCTATAATATTGCACTAASCAATTTTACTTGATGAGAGCATCCAAATCTAAACAGATATCATATGACGTTCACGGTATCTAAACATGAAATTTTATAGGTAGAGTTTCATTTTTTTTATACCACCAAAAGCCTAGAAGGTAGGCAACAAAATAYGAGCACCCAACCAATAATATGCTCCAATGATGAATTAACTGAATGGTAGATTCCACATCTAAAAAGAAATTCCACATGATGGTATCAAACAATAATAAATCAAGCAGTTAATCGAACAATCAGAGAAAAAGCACAAACTAAAACCCAAACAACTATAGCAAACGATAAAATATTAAAAAGGTAAAAACGGGAGCATTAGGTAAAAGAGAAGAATACGACTATTCCAAAATTGAATGAATGTGGCAAAATAACCATCAGTCAGAATAGCAACYCGACAGAATCTCATTAAAATAAAAAAAAATGAAAAATACTATAAACTACACTTTCAAACTTCAATGATCAATATAAACACTAATAATAATAATAAACTAATAACAAAAATTTATTAACAAAAGTTAGTAAATATTAAATGAAGTATATAAGTGAAATAACACAATTCAATAGGAGATAAAACAAGCAATTGCACTGCTTTATGGCATACCATGAAAAAACTGCAACTACTGCTCCATTGGTCATGAAGTAGCAGAAAGGCTCCTGCCCCAGCCACAAACCAATAATGTTATAGAAAAAAAACTTAATAATTATTTAGATTAGTGTTATTGTTGTGATTAACACTCAAAATTAGTCAACATGACCATATAAAACTGGTAAAGACATATATCTCCGATCAATAGGTTGTATGTTTGAATCTCCAACCCATACATTGTACTAAAAAAACACTCAAAGTCAAAACAAGAACAGAACAAATCAACAAAAAAGACTTGATGCGAGCACAAAAAATAAGAGAAAGCATAATGAACACCCAAGTTTCTAAGTAGTTCAACCTTTTGGTTTTCATACAAGGTACAAATCAAAAATCAATGACCTTCATTCAAAGAGAGAAGAAATTCAATGGGTAACACGATACAAGCTTATCTACCTACTAAAAGAGTTCAAAACAATTAGTCAGATACAACAACCACCCTTTTTAACTAAGTGGTTACATAAAGAAGGGATAACTAAAGAAAAATACCTCACATGACTTGCAACAAAGCTAACAGGTTATCATGACCCATCGACAAAAAGAGTTGGGTCCGAATCTCCAAACCAACATGTTCTCCTAAGAAAACACTCAAAATCAAAACAACGGATCCAATCAACATAAAGAGTAGATAAGAGTACAAAMAAATAAGAGAGAGCAGAATGAGCACCYGAGTATTTAAATGGTTCAACCTTTTTGGTCTACATCCACGATATAAATCAGATATTGATAACCTTCATTCATAGAGAGAAGAAATTCAATGGGTGTTACGTGATACAAGCTAGCTGGATATCGAAACGATACAAGCTAGCTACCTACTCGAATAGTCCAAAAGACTTAGTTAGATATATAACCACCCTTTTTAACTAAGTGGTTATATGAAGTACTAACTACGGAAAAATAGTAGAGTAAAAAATAACTCACATGACTAACGTAAAACAAAGAATATGAGAAATTAACTCTAACAATTATCATGACCCATGGACACAAAGCGTTTAGGTTCGAATCTCCAAACCAACATGTTGTTCTACTAAAAAAGAAAAAAACTCGAAATCAAAACAACAAAACCAACTAACACAAAGAATTTATACAAGTACAAAGAATAAAGAATAAGAAGAGCAGAATGAACACCCAAGTAGTTAAGTGGTTCGACCTTCTCGTCTACATCCACCGTACAAAACAGAGATCGATGACCTTCATTTATAGAGAGAATAAATTCAATGGGTTACACAATACAAGCTACCTSAATATCAAAATTATACAAGCTACTTACCTACTAGAATAGTCCAAAAGAATTAGTTAGATATAATAATCACCCTTTTAACTAAGTGGTTATAGGAAGGAGTAACCAAAGAAAAAGAGCAGAGTAAAAAATAGCTCACCTGACTTACTATAATGATTATGAGAAATTAACCCTAACAGTTATTATAACTCATCAACACAGAGTTGGGTTCCAATCTCCACCTCCACATGTTGTTGTACTAAAAAAATACTTCAAATCAAAACAAGAACCGAACCAATCAACACATAAAGTGGATACAAAGAATAAGAAAGAGTAGCATGACCACCCAAATTCTTAAGTGGTTCGACCTTTTGGTCTACATCCACTATACAAATCAAAGATTGACCTTCATTCATAGARAGTAAACTCAATTGGTTACACGATACAACCTAAGCTGCCTATTGGAATAGCCCAGAACAATTAATCAGATGCAATAACCGCCCTTTTTAAATAAGTGGTTACACATGAAAGAAGCAATAATAGAGAAAAACATTAGAGTAAACAATAGCTCACATGACTTACTAGAAAGACTATGAGAAATAAACTCCAACAATTATCATGACCCATGGACAAAAAGAGTTGAGTTCGAATCTCCAAATCAACATGTCGTTCTACTAAAAAAACACTCAAAGTCAAAACAACAAAACCAATTAACACAAAGTTGATACGAATACAAATAATAAGAGAGAGCAAAATGAACACCCAAATATTTAAGTAGTTTGACCTTCTGGTCTACATCCACTGTACAACTCAGAGATCAATGACCTTCATTCAAAGAGAGAAGAAATTCAATAGGTTACACGAAAAAAAACTAGCTGAATATCAAAACGATACAAGTTAGCTACCTACTGGAATAATCCAGAAGAATTAGTCAAATAAAGTAACCACCTTTTATAACTAAACCGTTATATGAAAAAGTAACTAAAGAAAAACAATAGAGAAAAAAATAGCTCGCATGACTTATTACAGAGACTGAAAAAGTAACTTTAACCATTATCATGACCCATCCACACAGAGTTGGGTTCGGATCTTCACCTCACCTCTTATATAACCAAAAAAAAACTCTCAAAATCAAAACAAGGATGAACCAATCAACACATAGAGTTGAGACAAGTACAAAAAATAAGAGAGAGGATAATGAACACTCAAGTTTTTAAGTGGTTCAACCTTTTGGTCTACAATTACATCCACGGTACAAATTAGAGAACAAATTAGAGAACGATGACCTTCATTCATAGAGAGAGAAAATTCAATAGGTTACACAATACAACTAGCTTCTACTGGAATAGTGCAGAATAATTAGTCAAATTGAATAACCACCATTTTTAACTAAGTGGTTATATGCAAAGGGGTGGCTAAAGAAAAACAGGAGTAAAAAACAGCTTAACTGACTTACTACAGAGACTATGAGAAATTAACTCTAAAAGTTATCATGACTCCATACTAACGAAAAACAATCCAACCCATAATCCACGACTAGTGTCCAATAAAGAAACATACAATTATTTCATCATTGATCTGTTTATCTGAACTAAAAGATTGAACAAGCCATATCTAATTGAAAGACAGCCAAATAAATGGTTTTTCCAACTAAAACACGACATATTTCAATCAACCTATTTTTAGAAATTCAATTTAAAAGATTAAGTGCAGGTAACAATATCAACCATCATGGGATGGCTCAGGTGGTCAATAAGGACCTTTGTAAATAGTAAAGGACTTAGAAGGAATGAGTTCAGACCATGGTGGCCACCTACACCTACCTAGGATTTAATATCCTACGAGTTACCTTGTCAACCAAATGTAGTAGGGACAGGCGATTGACCCGTGATTAGTTGAGGTGCGCGCAAGCTGGCCCAGACACACGGATTTCAAAAAAAAAAGTGCAGGTAACAATATCTGCGTTAATTAAATTTAACACCTTAACAATATTAAAATATCACATCCATCAAAAACCTGTTAATATATATAACAACCAAAACCTTCCTATACTAATGAAAAGTTGTTTAAAAAAAAAAAACATAACCAAAACCAACATATTTCTTACCCTTCCCGCTCCTAATCCATAAACATTTCTTCTGTTACTAAACAAACATAGATAAGTATAAACATTCAAGTTTGATGGATAACATCATATTATTGTTATTGTTATGAGAAAGATAACAAACCAATACATCTATCTTTCCGTTGTCCTAGAAAATACCTCAAAATTTTCAAGAGGACAGTAATATTCCATCTTCTATAACTTTTTCATAACCACTTGAAAAATAATGTTTATTCTTCCATATTAACCTACAAACATCGAGATCACCTTCTTTCACCATTCTCGATGTCAAGTTCCATATGTCAACACCTCCAAACTAAATTGGACCACTTACCATACTAGATGAGAACTATGTTCCTTTATCAATTTCTTCGTAACCACCTTTTGTATCAATTGACTTCTAGATTCAACTTAGTCCAATAAAAATCTTAAACCCACATAAAACATAAGGTTTGTTCTTCCATATTTAGCCCACCCATATTGATATCATCTCTTTCTACCGCCTTAGGTATATATAAAGCTCCATTTTAAAACCTCCCAATTCGTTTTATACAACTTCTTGATATCTTAGATAAGAACTATGCTCCTTATTCAATTGCTTCACAACCACTCTTTTCTTATTCCAAGTCCATTAAAATAAATATGATCATTATATACTTGTTTAACAACCATTCTTTTATCCTTTACCCTCGAAAGTCTCCCAACAATCCAACTAATTCATTTCCAAAATAATTTAGATCCACCACAAATTAGAGGTATAATTCCATAAAAATAACTTTGGTACCTATATCAACTAATTCAACACAGCTAGTTGAATCCAAACTTATTTCCTCGGTGTTTTGCTACTGTTGTTATCTCTTTTAGCCGAAGACAAATGTTCTAACAAATTTACGTAAATAACCAATTCTTAATTCCTCGTTGGTATTTTTCGTATTTCCTTAGAAATCTCATATCTTATTCCCTTAGAAATATCAAACCTCAAATCTATTTGACCAATTATGTTCATTCTTCTATCTAAAATCTATTTGACCAGTAATGCTCATTCTTCTATCTAAAAGTCTATTTCACCAAATAATGTTCCTTCTTCTATCTAAACCTACAAACGCCAATATCACCTCTATCCAACTTCGCAGAGGTAAAATTCTATTTCCATTGATATAAATTTAAATTCCCATCTTAACGTACCATTGGCCCGACAAAAAAAGATCGACAAGACGCAAAGCTTAAATTGTGCGAAGTAATTGATATAAGAAATAATTGATTGCAGTCGCTCGAATTGCTTTGAGGTACGTCCAATCAATGAGGAGGTGTCAACCCAAGCAACCAAATCACCACTCATGCACCGTACACYACAAAGGATCCAATCGACACTCAACTATTTGTGCCCCCGTAAACAAAGAAAGGGTACTAAATTGTCAAACGAAGCCACCGCAACGTCGTACACGGTCAAACAACCAGCCAACCAATTTTCGGAACCATCTCTTTCTTTCTAATAGGGGAGTGATCGAGGGCAATCTCGTCTCGCTTGGGGCAAAAAAAATCCGCAACTTTGTATAGGTCGTTTCTTATTATCGAAAGTCGACAAATTAAATAGTCATGTGCAAGCATTGTCAAAGCAAACCCCCTCAGGTTCAACTTGAAAACCCCTTCTCTCCCTAGTCTGGTGATGGTACATACGTCTACATTTGATCAGAGAACCCCCTTCTCTTCTCTCCCTCGTCCGGTGGTGGGACATAGGTGTACATTTGATCAGATATCCCACGGGAAGGGTTGGGTGGTTAAGAACCATTAGTCTTATGTTTCAAGGCGACTACTTCTTAAGGATAATATAAATGCAATCGATTTTATGGACAACCAACACATCCACGCAACCATTGGTCCTTTATTTAAAGGAAACCAATTTTAAGGGACAACTGACAGATCAAGGCAGCACATTGGTCCTACATTTTGAGGAATCTAATTTTTAGGGACAACCGACATATCAAGGTAACCACTAGTCCTACAATTTGAGGCAACCGATAGATCGAGGATATTATTGATTCTACATTTCATGCTAACCAACTTTTAAGGACAACTACGTATCAAGGCAACTGTTGGTCCTTGATTTTGAGGCAACTAATATTAGGGGCAGCCGACATACGACAACACAGGCTTCTAGGATCATCATGCACCCCACTAAGGGTGTTGACAGAAAAGGACCGACAAGAAGCGACACATAAATAATGCAAGGTAACCGATGCAAAAACTGATTGATTGCGAGACACATAAATAATGACGAGGTGTCAGTGCCTACAGTTTGATGTCAAGCATCGAACCTACGAACTTAAACAACCAAATCACCACTCATGCATCGTACGCCACAATGGATCCAATCGACTCTCGACTATTTACGCCCATACAAGCAAGGAAGCAATGCAAAATCGTCCACAAAGCCAAGGCCACAACATCATGTGCGATCAAACAACCATCCAACCGCTTTTCAAAACCATCTCTTTCTTTCTAATGAGAAAGCCTTTTCGTCAAAAAGGGGAGTGAGGCAACCAATTCGTAAGGACAACCGACATATAGATGCAACAAATTTTAGGGATAGCCAACATATCCAGACGACTATTTTTGGTCCTACATTTTGAGGCATCTAGTTTTTAGGGATAAACGACTTATCGCGGCAACCATTGGTCCTCTAGTTTGAGGCAACAAATTTTAAGGCAAACCGATATATTGAGACAATTATTGGTCCTACATCTCGAGCTAACCAACTTTTAGGAACAACAACAATATATAGGTGTCGGTCCCACACCGGATCTAACCAACGCTCGACTATTTGCACCCCTGCAAGCAAGGCAAGGGTGCGACATTGTCAGGCAAAGCCATGTAAGCAACGTCATGCGCAATCGAACAACCATCCAACCGTTTTTCCAAACCATCTATTTCTTTCTAATGGGCAAGCCCTTTCATCGAACGGCGGAGTGATCAAGGACTATCTCATCTCACTTGGGACAAGCACACTGCGACATTGCAAGCTAGGTCGTTTCTTATTATCGAAAGCAAACAAATGAACCAGCCAAGTGCAAGCAGTGTCGAAGCAAGCCCGCGTCAAGTTCGACTCAACAACCCCTTCTYTTTCCCTCGTCTGATATCCCACAAGAAAGGTTGAGTGGCTAAGTAACCACTAGTCTTTTTCAAGGCAACCAATTCTTAAGGACAATAGATATAAAGATGCAACCAATTCTAGGGACGGCCAACATATCAACTATTGGTCCTTTATTTCAAGGGACAACTAGCAACACGTTGGTCCTACATTTTGATGCTTCTATTTGGACAGCCGACTTATCAAGGCAACTATTGCTTCTGCAGTTATAGGCAACCAATTTTAGGGATCAAGACAATTATTGGTTCAACATCTCGAGCTAACCAACTTTTAGGAACAACTACATATTGACGCAAATGTTGGTCCTGTATTTTGAGGCAACTAATTTTTAGGGACAATCGGGATATCGAGGTACCTATTGGAACTATATTTCGAGGAAACCAATTTTTAGGAACATCCAACATATTAAAGAAAAAATTGTCCTTTATTTCGATATAACTAAAACTTAGGGGCAAATAGACATACTGAGGCAACCCGGGCTTTCTAGGATCGTCATGCACCCCACTGAAGGTGCCGAAATAAAGGGATCGACAAGATGTGTCACTTAAATAGTGCAAGGCAATCATTGCAAGAACCGATCAATTGCGAGGTACATCCAATCAATGTAGAGGTGTAGGTCCCGACACTCTGATGCTAAAGCATCAAGCCTGCTAACCCAAGCAACCAAAATCACTACTCATGCGCCGTACGCCACAATGGATTTGAACAACGCTCGACTATATGCGCCCTTGCAAGCAAGGCAAGGGTGCAAAATCATCAAGCGAAGCCAAGCCCGCAACGTCGTGCGCGGTCGAACAACCATCCAACCATTTTTCCAA